TGACCTAAGGTACACCTAAAATAGCTTGTTACATCACTGGTATGCAGCCTAAGCAGCACACCTATAATAAGTCATTTCATCACATAGCCTATTACATCACTGGTATGCGGCCTAAGCTGCACACCTGGCATAAGTCATTTCATCACATTGCCTGTTACCTCACTGGTATGTGGCCTAAGCAACACACTTGGCATAAGTCATTTCATCACATAGCTTGTTACATCATTGGTATGCGGCCTAAGCGGCACACCTGGAATAATTCATATATGCATATGATGCATGTCTCACATTCACAATTACATTGACTCAACACTTCACATTTCACTTCACATTTCACATCCCATCATATCTCATGTCACATTATGTCACAATGTCATATCACAGATCATATGTTCACCTTTCACATTCTCACATCATATTCTCATAGTCTCATAAAGAAACTTCTCGTCATCATATACATCAAAATAATACATAAATCATACCAAAAACTTATCTAAAACATGAAGCTATTATCAACATTACATATAATGCCTCAAATCATTCATAGATCATATTCCTAATTTTACCTCATAGGGTTTCCCAAAAGGACTCATAGAGCACTCTAATTCATATCAAAACTTATCTATTTTCAAAATTAATCACATATTTATACATCTTATTCAACAAGGAACACAACAGAAGAATCAAAAATCAAAATAGAAAACGTTCATATTTTTCTTGTTTCTCATAGGTTCTCTCAAGAACTCACAGAGCACTCTAATTCATATCAAAACATATTCATTTTCAAAATTAATCACATACTCATACATCACATCCAACAAGGAACACAACAGAACGATCAGAAGGCAAAATAGAAAACATTCATATTTTGTCTGTTTTCTCATAGGGTTTCCCATAGGAACCCACAGAGCACTCTAATTCATATAAAAACATATTCATTTCCAAAATTAACCACATACTCATGCATCACATCCAACAAGGAACACAAAAAAACAATCAGAAGGGAAAACAGAAATATTCATACTTTGCATGTTCCTAGAAGCATGCATTGGGGGCCAATCCGACTACCCAACAATTATTCCCACACCCCGAGCGAGGTTTCTCACTCCCCCCTTACCTGGAAGAGCAGAAGACAAATGGTCTTGGTGTGCTATAAGATCGTTCCTGAGTACTCTTCCTTAGAGCTCTTTGTTTCTCTTTTTTTTTTCTTAACCCTTCAGAACGTAAATGAGGCAGATCGGGTTAACGCTACCTGACTCCTTTCTTAAAAATCCATTGGGCTGGGTCAACCCAACCCATTTTCCTTCTCTTCTAACCCACTTCTCTTTTTCCTCAAAATAATTAAATAAAATAAATACATGTATATTATAAAATATTTTTCCTCTATAATAATAATATATTTATGACCCAAAATATAATAATATAATATCAATAACAAAATATCATATAAAATCAACCTTCTCTTAAAACATATAAATATTTATTTAAAAACGCTAATAAAAATACTTATTTAATATGTACAAAATAATTGTCCAAAACAATAATTATTTAAAACGTACAAAATAATATTTCTCTATAATTATTAAAATAATTATGACCAAATACCATATAATAATAATAATAATAATAATCTTTTTGAAAACTTGGGTGTTACAACCTCCTGCTCTTTGGCACTGCTCACATGTGCTAAAAATCCTTCATGCATCCTTGAAGATGGTGGGCCAATAAAATCCAGAATCAAGCACCTTCCTTGTTCTTTGGGAGCCAAGATGGCCACTCACTGCTGAAGCATGGCAAAAATGGAGGAGTGACTGAATCTCATGATCTGGAATGCAGCTCCTAATCACCTGATCACTACACAATTTCCACAAAAATGGATCATCCCAAATATAATATTTAGCATCACTTTTAAGTTTATCAATTTGAGATTTAGATGCTAATGGGGAAAAAATAGAAGCAACCAAGTAATTAACAATATTAGCAAACCAAGGGGTAGGGTGAGAGACAGAGATATTCAAGAGTTGCTCATCAGGAAAATCATCCTAGATAGGAAAGGTGTCAACAGCTCACTTTATTATGCTTAAAAGATCTGCCACCAAATTTTGTGCTCCACTCCTAACACGAATCTCCAAATCAAACTCCTAGAGTAGAAGCATCCATCTAATCAACCGTGGCTTAGAGTCGGTCTTCTTCAACAGGTACTTCAAAGTTGTATGGTTAGTATAAACAACAACTCTAGAACAAAGCAAATATGATATAAACTTATCAAGAGCAAACACAATGGCTAAGAGTTCTTTTTCAGTGGTGGTATAATTAACTTGTGTGACATCTAAAGTCCTAGAAGCATAATAAATGACCCTGGATAATTTACCAACTTTTATGCAAGGACAGCACACAATGCATAATTAGAAGCATCACACATCAACTCAAAGGGGACTGTTCAGTCAGGGGCTTCGATGATGGGGGTGATGGTCAAAGTAGTCTTGAGGCAATCAGAAGCCTCTTTGCACCTCTCATCAAAGTGGAACGCCACATCTTTCTATAACAAGTTAGACAATGGGAGGGCCTTATTGCTGAAGTCTTGGATGAATCTCCTGTAGAAACTTGCATGGCCAAGAAAATAACGAACATCTTGAACACAAGAGGGGTAAGACAAATATGAAATAACTTCTATCTTGGCAGGATCTACTTGTATGCCCTTACTAGAGATCACATGACCTAAGACTATCCCTTGTTGCACCATAAAATGACATTTCTCATAATTCAAAACAAGATCAGTCTCAATGCATCTATGAAAAACTCTAACCAGACTACCCAAACATGCATCAAATAAGGATCCATAAACAGTAAAATCATCCATAAACACCTCCATGCAACTCTCTAGAAAATCACTAAAAATGCGTACCATACACTATATGCAAAGGTGTTGAAGGGGTAGGTGAATATTATCTTTTCCTGATCCTCAAGAGTAATGTGAACCTGGAAATAGCCAGAAAATCCATCAAGGAAATAGTAGTGAGATTTCCTGTCAGACGCTCAAGCATTTGGTCAATGAAGGGTAAAGGAAAGTGATCCTTTTGTGTTGCTTGATTCAATCTTCTGTAATCAATGTAGACTTTCCAACTATTCTACACCCTCGTTGGAATCAACTCATCCCTGTCATTCTTTACCACGGTAATTCTCGTTTTCTTGGGAACTACTTGGACTGGCCTTACCTAATGACTATCGAATATGGGATATATGATCCCAGCCTATAGGAGCTTGGTAACTTCCTTTTTCACCACATCCAGAATCACCGGGTTGAGTCTCCTCTGTGGTTGCCTCACTGGTTTGGCTCTATCCTCCAAAAGTATTTTGTGCATGCATGTGGATGAGCTAATACCAAGAATGTTAGCCAGCGTCCATATTATGGCTCTCTTGTGCTTTTTCAGCACGTGCAACAACTTCTCCTCTAAATGAGCATTTAAAGAGGTGGACACAATGACAGGGAGCTTGTTATTCTCCTCTAAGTATGCACACTTGAGGTTTTTAGGTATAGGTTTCAACTCCAAGATAGGTGGCTGCACAATGGAAGGAATAAGAGTAGTGGATAGTGAAGCTGCATCCTGCACCTCAACAAATGAGTCAGATTCATGTGCATAATCAGATTGTTCATTTATGTTCATACCAGCATCAACATCAACATCAACATCAACATCAACATCCGCATCAGCATCAACAGTAATATCAATGTAGGAACTACACAACTCAGAATCAATACATGCACGGGGTGGGGAATCAACATTATGAAAGAATTGAAGCACATATTCATCAATTAATTCATCAAATAAATCAACATGAAAAATTGAATGCTCTTCAAATGGATGCTTCATTGCATCATGAATGTTGAACTTAACCACACTATAATCAAATTCCATTGAGAGTGTACCAGCATAGACATATATCTTGGTCTTGGTTGTGTTTAAAAATGACCTGCCTAAAATAATGGGTACTGCACCATGGGAGTACCTTTCTTCCATATGAAGCACATAAAAATCTGCAGGAAAAATTAGTTTATCAACTCGGACCAAGACATCCTCAATGACACTAGCAGGATGGGCAGTACTTCTATTTGCCAATTAAATTACCAACCTGTGGGTTTTAAAGACCCAAGGATAGAGAATTAAAAACAGACATAGGCATGACATTTATGGATGCTCCTAAGTCTAGCAATGCATTCTCAAATTTTCTATCACCTATGATGCAAGGTATAATGAATGTACCAGGATCCTTACATTTTTTAGGGATATGAGGAATAGGTTTACCTATGAGTGCAGACACGTTTCTGCCCATACTAATTCTCTCATTACCTTTGAGTTTTGTCTTGTGCGTGCACAACTCCTTAAGGAACTTGGCATACCTCAGTATCTGCTTGATTGCATCTAGGAGAGGTATGTTCACTTAAACCTTTCTGAAGATGTCCAAAATCTCTTTATCTATCTCTTTCGTCTTCTTGCATTGAACTGCTCTTAGAGGGAATGAAAAAGGAATAGAAACTAGCTGGTGCTGACATGTTGAAGGTGAAAGGTTGTTGGAGTGAACCAGCTCCTCTTCTAGTTGGTCTACAGCTAGAGTAGGGGGATCTTGTTGCTGAATATATGGCAGCTGTGTTGTGGGAGGTACAGGTACTTCATCAATGGTTTTCTTCCCTAACCTCAAGGTGATAGCATTGACATTCTTTGGATTGATCACATTTTGTGCAGGAAGCTTGTTAGAATTTGGTGCTTGCAGTTGGTTCACAGTAGTGGCTAATTGACCAATTTGGTTGGTCAAATTCTGAATGGAGGCATCATTTTTTTGCTGGTACTGGAGGTTTAACTCAGCCATTTGTTTCACCATATCCTCCAATGAAGTTGAAGGTGTAGGTGTAGGAGGAGCTCTCTATTGAGGAGGCTGGTATGAAGAACTTGAGGGATAGTTTTGGAAATGTGCTTGGTTTTGCTACTGAGAGTTTCCCCACCTCAAGTTGGGATGATTCCTCCAACTAGGGTTATATATGTCAGAGGACAGATCATAATTCTATTATTGTTGTTGTTGGTGTGGAGGCCTGTTGTTGTAAATGTTTGCAGCATAAGCCTGGGGGTATCAGGACCTGTAGACTCTTGTAGTGATGGACACCTATCTGTAGGATGATTAGTTGAAGTGCAAATGCCACACAATTTTGTAGGAGCAGCAGATTTTTGATTGGAAGCAAGATGGGAGACTAATGTGGTGAGAGCATCAATTTTACTCTCCAGCTTCTTGTGTTCTAATGCATTTGAGGCTCCCACATTATGTACACCTCTCAAAACTATAGCATCGCTTCTCATGTTGAATTGTTGTGAATTGGATGCCATTTTCTCAATCAAACCTCTAGTAGAAGCAGGTGTCATGTCTCCTAAAGCTCCTTCATTGACTGCATCAATCATGCTCTTATCCATTATGTTCAGTCCCTCATAGAAATATTGCAACAATAGTTGCTTAGAAATCTGATGGTGGGGAAAAATAGCACACAATCTCTTAAATCTCTCCCAATACTCATATAAGCTCTCTTCCATGAGTTGCTTGATTTCAGATATGTCTTTCCTGAATGCAGTGGTCCTGGATGCAGGGAAATTTTTTCAAGGAACACTTTCTTCAAGTCGTCTTAGCTTGTTATGGAACCATGAGACAGATAATACAACCAGTCTTTAGCAAGATCCTCCAAAGAGAAAGGAAATTCCTTCAGGTAAATGTGATCTTTTGGAACATTTTGTGGTCTCATGGTGGAACAGACTATGTGAAACTCCTTGAGATACTTGTGTGGATCTTCACCTGCATGACCATGAAACTTAGGCAACAAATGGATTGGTCGAGTTTTAAGAACAAAAGGAACATCCTCCTCAGGATATTGAATGCACAAACTCTCATATGTAAAATCAGGTGTAGCCATCTCCCTAAGCGTCATTTCACGGGGTCGATTATTAGGTTATTCACCCATGTTTTCAGTTTGAACTGAATCAACTTCAGATGCAACACTTACACTAGGATTATCACTATGATTATTGTTATGATTATCACAATCTAAAAATGGAATTATATGCTCTCTAACTAATCTATGGAATGTCATATCAATCTCAGGATCAAATGGATGCAAAAAGTCTGGATTGTTCCTAGTCATGCACTACATGCAATCACATGCAAGTACATCAAACAATATATGTGAACAGTAGGGGCAAAATGGGAATTTTCATGAAAACTTAGAAAACATCAAAACTAATGCACCAATATCATCTTAAAATCATTAAAAACTACCACGAAAAATTCCAGAGCAAAATTCAAAGTCTAACTATATGAACTACCTATGAAAATTTGGGAAAATAGGGAAATAAAACTTCAAAATTAAAAAAAAAATAGTAAATGACCTTTTTTGAAAATCTAAGCAAGGTCTGCTAGCAAAGTAGGCAAGGTTCAATAGATATCATTTTTCTACCCCAAAAGCATATAAAATATGTCTAATTCTGATAACCAAAGCAAAAGTTATGGTTATTTGAAAATCTTGCAAAATTACTATTCACTACACCAATGAAACTCACTCCAAACGAAAAAATAATTAAATGTGCCTTGGACAACCCTCAATATATGTTAAAAGAAGTGTGTATACCAATTTTTATGCAAAAATTCGCAGTGCAACCACGTGAACCCAGATAGGCCGAGAGCTACACAACATTGACACTATTCACCGCACATGAACATGCAACATTTCTAGAACTCAAATAGAGGAGTAGTAGAGGGAAAAAACAGAGCATGCACGCACAAAACAGAGTATACACGAGACCAAAACAAAGTACACAACACAGGTTATGTAATACACAATACATACACAACACACCACAATACACCATACAATATAGAACAACTATACGCACACTACTAACATATTACATTACACAACACAATGAACACATGAAAACTAAAAACAGAGACACACTAACATACATGAACATACAATACAACACATAGTAAACAATGGAACAGTGCACTCTCCAACTCAGTTACAACACACATATCATTAGTTCGAATTATTATCTTTTACCGGTCTAAACCTTGGTTCAGTTTCTAGTAATCACTAAACGTTATTACTATTGTTGAATGCATACAAATGAAGCATTAGCATACATTCCTAGCTCTATTCGCGGGATTAAGCAAACCATGAGCAGAGCATTCAGTCCAGTTGAACACGATACCATTAAGCATGGAGAAAAATCGTAACAGGTTAACAAGGATTCAAACACAAAGATATGTTAAAATGAACAAACCTCAATGGTGCATTTAAATTGAGTTAGAAAGTGTTACAGTTTAGCCTTCCATGGAGGAAGAAATAGAAGAAGAAAATGAAAGAAGAAGAAGAACAAAAAGCTACAGAGAATAAGCTACAACAAAAGTTAATGTTACAATGCAAAAATGGTGTGTTTTCTTAACTCGTCCAGGAACCAAAACAAGGGTGGTGGCTGACTCCCCAGGGTCCCATCAAGTCTAACCTAAAACCTAGTTGTCCCCCTTCAAATTTTGAATGAATTTGGGTCTAAGCAGTTGGGTTGACCCAGTTGGCCCATTACAACAATAAAATACGAAATTACAAAATATAAAATTAAAATTGTGCTGAAATAGGTCCACGTGGCAGTGCTCCTAGTCCAATAAGTGCTTCCAAATTCTCTACAAATGATTATGAAATTAATTAAGCTAATAAATTGAATTAAATACAATTCCGAATTAATAGCCCAATAAACCTCAAAACAATAAAATATGACAAGAGAAAACAATTAGGCACTAACAATATTTAATAAGGGGTTACAAAGGTAAGAAAATGCACGAAAATTATGATTGATCATGAACCAATATAGAAATATAACTTGTTATATCTCTTCCCTTGCTCCCTCGCTTTTATTAGACAAAAGGGTCTTTTTTAAGAACTTATATTATATACTTGCGAAAAGTTTTAAAAGCCTTCATCCACACATTCAACCCCCTTTTTATTTGTTTATTTCAACTTCAACAATGAAGCATAATATGCACACTGAAAATCCCTTTACAAATATTGTAACTAACCTTTGACATCTTCTGAAACAAAATGACCAAACCCAATCTTCATTTTCCTTTTCTACTCATGACATCTAAATATGCAAAGAGTAATGTTTTCCTCTACTTTTGCAAATGTTCCTTTTTGGCTCTCACCCTTCACCATCATATTCCTTAAATGATCCAAATGATTTAGTCTACACAATTCTAACTACACAAAACAATCTTGTAGCATTTTATATGCCACATTGATGTACAAATAGAGTTTGATGACACATCATACTTTTCTATTGAAATATTTAACATTACTAACAAAAAGAACTAAATTGACTATTTTTAAAACATGAAGTCCCAAAATAAGTTTTTAAAAAGATGATGAATCAAAACACATTTTATTTAAAATATAAGAGACCAAAATAATATTTTATCTTATAAATAACATTGTAAGTGGTATAAGATTGAAATATGACAATTGTAAACTAGACCTTTCTTTTCGCACTTTCTTTTTGCAAGTTTTAAAAATGCTTCAAATATCTTTTTCCTCCGTTTTTGCCTCTCATCAACATCTTCTTGCCCTTCTCCATCTATTTCTTTTTCAATAGGCTAGTTTGTTTAGACTTTATAAATGATTATAAAAAAAATGCTTCTTAAAATTTTATTTTAGAAGCAAAATTATTTTTCTTATTAAGAAAGAAAAAAATGATTATTTTTAAAACAAGCAGTTTAGAGAAGCACAGTAAAAAATGTTAACTAAAATAATATTACAACTTAATTGAAAATTTAATATTAAATTATTCAAATATAATATTAAATGATCCAAACATAAATATAGAACATTCAAATATAATCTTAAATGATTAAAATATATGTCATTACACATAATCAAATAACATTGAAAAATAACTTGATTAAGATGAGAGTTCTAACACTAATCACAATTAGTGGAACCCTTGAACTGATTAAAACCTTTAACCTCCCATGGTCATCTCTGTTACATAAAGGTTAAAGAAAAATGTAGTAATATGTAAAGAATATATGATGGAAACTTGCTTGGAAAACCGGATTGATGTTGATTTAAACCACTTGACTATATTAATTTTTATAATACTTATGTTGCATTTTGTTAAGTTAGATGAAGCAATTCCCAATAAGGTTTTGAATGAGACAAATATAATGCATATTGTTATCTCTAACAAATATATTAGTGTTTCAGATAAAGACATAAGTACAGTCAAGTTGAAGAATAAAGAATATACATGTATCACCGTCTACACCTGTACCAAGAGAGATAAGCTAAGCACTAGATAAAGGCTAATCAAAAGAAGGACATACATTAGACAAAGATGCCCATAAACACAGACACAACGCAAATAAAGAACAAAGCGCGAGCAACCAAGATGAAGGGCAAAAGCTAAGAAGAAGTCAGATGGGGAGATTTAACGAAATCAAGCCCAGCACAAGAAGGAAAATAAAGAATCCTCAAATGATAAAACCACTTGACTATATTAATTTTTATAATACTTATGTTGCATTTTGTTAAGTTAGATGAAGCAATTCCCAATAAGGTTTTGAATGAGACAAATATAATGCATATTGTTATCTCTAACAAATATATTAGTGTTTCAGATAAAGACATAAGTACAGTCAAGTTGAAGAATAAAGAATATACATGTATCACCGTCTACACCTGTACCAAGAGAGATAAGCTAAGCACTAGATAAAGGCTAATCAAAAGAAGGACATACATTAGACAAAGATGCCCATAAACACAGACACAACGCAAATAAAGAACAAAGCGCGAGCAACCAAGATGAAGGGCAAAAGCTAAGAAGAAGTCAGATGGGGAGATTTAACGAAATCAAGCCCAGCACAAGAAGGAAAATAAAGAATCCTCAAATGATACAAGACCATGGACGATGGACAAAACCAAATCATAGCTGACCAGATGGAGACTCAAATACACAGACAAAAATCAAGAATGTTGAATTGTATCTAAAGTCACAACATGGAGAACTATTTAGCATCCATACTCTCAGAAGAACGCATTAAGTCATCAAAATAAAAGAAGAAAGAAGAGGAAAATGGATTAGCGCTTATCCACGAGTCAAAGCTGCATGTGTCAGAGCAAGTACACCTACCAGTCAGCAAAGAATAATTCCTTTGAAACTACAATGTCAGCAAAGTACAGAGATGTTTAGGCCATGATTGATGCCAGACATAGAAGTAAATAAATAGTACAAAAGACTTAGTGAAACACAAATTCGGTAAGCAAACATTTAATGCAAGATCAAATGCATTAAATGCAAGATCTATAAAGCCTGGAAAAACTAAATAAGAATCAGATGATGACTACTCAAGCATCAAGATCATGTATGATCATAGACGGAAGAACATTCAACAAACACTAGATGAGGCCTACTACTACAAGTCAAAAAATCGAAGTATCAGAAAGAAAGCTAAAACAAGAAAAGTTGTGTCGAACAACAGATGAAACCAGATGGTCAACTTTGGTAAAAGAACAATTAAGGCAAAGCACATCATGAGAACTAGACAAATCAATCAAATTGAATAGACAAATTAGAACATGTGGTTAAGTTAGATGAAGCAATTCCCAATAAGGTTTTGAATGAGACAAATATAATGCATATTGTTATCTCTAACAAATATATTAGTGTTTCAGATAAAGACATAAGTACAGTCAAGTTGAAGAATAAAGAATATACATGTATCCCTTACTATTTTCCAGCATTGAGAAGTTAAAGAGGTTGTTCAACTAAAAGACATTTCTTGATAGAATGTTTTATTAAAAATTGACTTCTAGGAACAACTTCCTTGGAGGAGACACTATCCTCCAACTCTAGAACCTTCTTTTTCTCCTTTTGTATTTTT